TTGATTTTAATTTAAAATTTCAAAAATTTTTAAGATCTCATATTCTTTATTTTACTCAAAATTTATTAGTGATTAATGATTATTTAAAAATCCGTCTTTGCATCTTGCACTCATGATTTTGAAATTTTTAAACTTTAGTTTTTCAAGATATTATTATTTGAGTTTTTAAATTTTTACGCAAAATATAAAAAGCTAAAATTCTCACTAATTTTTAGTAGTTCTTTCCAAATTTCTAAGTTTGAACCTTAAATTTTCCAACAAAATTATTAGTTTTGTCAAAAACTTCAAAAAATTTTAACTTTATGCAATTTCTTTTTAATTAAAAATCTAAACACTCAATTTAAAATTAAACATCGTCTTTAAACTAAAGCTCTTTATTCCTGTGTGAATAATTATAAACATACTGAAATCTTTTTAATTTAAAGATTTCTAAATTTAATCTGTCTTTTTAATTGCAATTTTGCGTCATACTCAAAATTCCACAATTTTAATTTTCTTTTTAAAATCAAGGGTCGACACTAGAAATCCCCAATTCGATGAGTCAAATTTCCCTACGCTCGATTTTAATTCAACTAACAAAACTGAAACGACACTCTTTATCGAGAAAATAAAGTTGTTTAGTGGTCGCAAACCTTCTATTTAGGCCCCCTGAAATATGCCACTTTCATTTTTATAAAGAATTTGAGATGACTTTCAAGATTTTATAAGCTGCGTCAATTACGATAAAGGGTTATTGGCAATAAACTTTACAAACACTAAAGTTTTTTGTGATAATTCATATTTACAAGCGCTAATGACTCAAAAACGTATAAGAAAGTGGCTGAATTTATGAGAGATAAAATTCCGGATTTGTGAGAACTAAAAAATTCGCTAGTTATTTTTGATAGCACAATGTAGTAGCTTACTTTTCTCGTTAAAACAGGAATTTCTTCTTAAATCGCTTGGTAAAAGAGCTTTTATGTTAATTCACATTAGACAATACCAACATAAGTAGAATACTTCGCACAAAATCATAAGTTGCTTTCATGAAACTTTTCTCATACCGTTTTCAATTATTTGAAGTGAATATTCCCTTCTTTGCAAAGCTCCGTGAAAGCTGCGAGTAATCAAAACTTGCACAACAAAGATCGAATTTTTGCAAAATATATATCCATTTCCGGGCTTAACTACCCGAATCAGAAGTTGGACTGTTTAAACTTTATCTATCGAACAATTATAGAAAGTTCATAAAATTGCCCGGTTTCAATTTGCCAATATTGACACACCTAAATTATTCCGGAAACAATATAAAACTTTAAAAGTTTGTTATTGAAAAAATGCAAAGTTGCAAATTAAAACGGGATTTGTACGCCTTCACACTTTAGTTAACTAGACCAGAAACGGTGCTGAAATCCTATCGAAAATGTTTTTTAGAAATTATGGGGGGGCTCGCAGCTATGCCGCTCGTTAACTGGAATTGATGACAACTTGAAGAACACTGCACCAAAAATTAACCAGTTTCTTAAGTTCCACTTTGCAATAATAAAACGTTCGCAAAGCAAGGGTGAAAGAAACTTTGGCCGCCTTTTATACAATGTGTTCCGAGTTTGTCCCGAATTTAATAGAATAACTCAATAAACCATAAAGTTTCGTGAAAAATGTTTACGCTTTCACCAGCAAACTAAACAAATTTACTCCGATACGTCCAAAAAGATTTTTATGTGATATAAAAGGAATTGTTTGCTCTAATGACTGGCAGAAGATAAAAATGATGAGTAATTCGCCTTTGTGTGGCATTTTATTCCATTAGTGTTATTAGGGCGTCAAATTGTACTGGTTGCATTATTAATCGAATTAATTTCTCAAAGGAGAAATGTCTTAATCGAGTTACAAGTTTCTTCTCAATCTAGCTGTGATAAGATATTAATCGAGGTAAAAACTAGAGTTTCTACAAAAAACATTTTTTGGGCCAAGAATGTGAGTCCAAAACGAGTGGGAGGAGGATTTTACGTTTGTTTGATTGATGCTCGTCCGATTTTTATCCAGACTAGACGGACTACAATAAACGTAATAAATGAGCACTTGGAGAAGCGACTAATGCCATTTAAAAGATCTCGTTTTGTTCACGAAGCTTTGCAACTGGATTAAAGTCTCATTTACCAGTCTTTGCATTTCAAAGAGATGACAACGGTCAGAGGGTCATTCAAGTCCAGGACATTAACTCCAATTACACACAACGGCCAAATTTTATAAGAAATCAGGTTTTTTATCAATTCTAACTTAAAAGAGTGAAATATGGAATTCGGAAAGCTCGCTGTAATGGAGCAGCCTTTCTCAAAGTCTTCTCCCCTGGGTTTTGGGGCACTTTGAAATCCATGTAGGATCCCTCTTTATATTCCCGACATGATGTATTTTAATCATACGTAGTGTCTTCCAAACTTTCTTCGCACTTTCCCGAAGGATTACTCAAAGCCTTTAAATAATCCCGACTGTTCTTTTCCACTCAAAATTTTGTTTAATTAAGGTGAAAGTCAACATTTATCTAAAACTGTCTTTGTGTGCATGACTACTAAAACCGAAATATCTCCATTTCCAGTCTACTATATGTAAAAAGGTCTTTGTTGATTCGATTTGTAAGTAATCGTGAGTTTGCAGAAGTCGGGCTAAATTTATTAAAGAGTTGTAAAGTTATTTGGCTCGGAAACCAGTGCATCAAAGAAAAGGAAAAATCTGAAAATTTCTACATGAACAAGTCGTTCTCAAAAATATTGAATCGCGCAACAAATTAAATTGCATGTGACCCGAAGGCGGATTCAAAGCCTGCCAAAACAGAATTTGAACAAGTCACTGAACCCAATTTCAGGTTTTCAGGACAACTTTTTTAATTGATGATAAGCCTGTGATTTCGTGTGGTGAAAGGTCACAACTGCTCTGAAAATTTTTCATGTTTCGATCGCTGACACCCCTGTGTTCATCATCAACTCTAATCTCCAAGTCGGTGTAAAAAATAGCGATTTTATTTTAATCCGAGTTGACAAGTGGACAATCGATGCCGCTCTCCGTCTTGACAAATTCCCCGCATCAGTTTTATTAAATTTAGCGAGAGATAAAAGGATACGAGCATCTGTTGCAATGACTCGCCTAATTTCTCATTTGCCCAGGTGGTTTACTGCGAATAAATGCAAGGCGAGCGACGGCAATTCATCAAAATGTATGAGGGAAGCCTTATTAAATTAGCGGGATTGCACTTATTTACGAAAGAAACTTTTTCGTTGTATCAAACTTGAAAAAAGTTTCAGTTTGTTTGATAAAAAAGGCCAAAGCTCACCTTGAAAGCTCACATAGCTGTCGAAATAGTCCAAAACACACAAACATTTCTAATTGGGATTTAAAGTTAAGGTCGCGGTCGCTTCAGTGCTACCAATAGACTGACACGAGTCGACGCCGTGCTCCCCGACGCCAGGCGTCCAAGGCGCCGGTGCGGTAATCCATAGCCACATTTTCAAATCACATGGAAGAAAATTAATTCAGCGACCGATAGAAAATTAACAGATTATTACAATCGCTTTAAGCTGATTTTATTTCAACCGCAAGGTTTGGGTAAAAGCATCGAGTTATATTTTCTAATTTACTGGTTTAACAAGATGCACTCAGAAAATAGTTTCTTTTTGTTTACTAAATTATGGTTTCCCTCGGCATCGATTTGGAAGTTTTGTGATTCCGTGCCGGAATGAGGTTTTACGTTGCATGTTCCCAACTTCATCATTTGACCGAAACTTTTTTCCTGAAAAATTCTTTCACAAGTCCAAACAATGAAAATCGGATGGAGCAAATCCGGGCAGAAGCTTAGAAGGATAGAACAAAAGCTATCACTTTTTTATAATCTATTCAAAACATTTTTTGATTTGCAAACATAAGTGTGGAGTTGTTAAGACTTCAACCACAATATTAAATTTTTAGCACACATTTTTCACTTTAAAGTCTCATATAATGGCACGAAATAGCCTCACATTACATAAAATGTTTGCAGAATATAAAGCTCTACGGTTTCTAAGATATTCAAGTTTGCTTGTTATATTTCTATTTTATTCTTTATTGTTTCCATACTTCGTGAAATATACGAGTTTTTATTTCTGCCTCAAAACAAAGTCAATAAAGAAACTTTTATACGCTTAGAAAAGTGTTTTAATTAACGTTGTTTTGTTCGAGCGATGTGTATTTTCTATGCATATAGAAATGAGAATTTACATTTAATAAATACAAATTTGATTTTGTGTGCAACCGTGCAAATAAAAAATAAAAAATTTCAGCGAGAGATTGCAGACATTCGATCGTTTTCCCAAGGCACCCGCTTTCGTTCCTTATTTAGAGAAACAAATGTAAAAAGCACAGACCACAGACGGCATCTTTAAAGAACCATCTCGACAATCACTTAGTCTTAAAAGTATTAGCTGCATTTCCGGTTTGTGCAAGTTAGTCGGGTTTTTATCCCTTGCAAAAGATTAAAAACTTAGCTCAGATCAGCGTAATCCATTCGTAGACTCGCAATCTAATACCACTAAACATTTATAAATCACGATCTCGCATTTAATCGCCTCAATTTTACGAAATTTCTGTTTCGCTACACAAATATTTTCTCAATCGTCTCGTCTCGTGTGAGAATTTTTTGAATCGGAAATTTCAGATTAGATGTGAAGGCGGCGAAACTCAGTTATAATTAATACTGTTGCCGGGCTGGAAACAATATTGTGAGGATATATTTCCAGCGAGAACGAGTTTTCGTGAAAATGAGTTGTTCCAAATCTGTCGCTTTAGAAAATTCTTACACTGAATTTCGGGGTTTAGGTGTCGTTAAATGTCATAAATTTCCCGAAAGTTCGCTTAGAATTTATTCAGGCAAGAGTATTTCCACCTCTATATCGTGTCTATGTAGGGGCGAAATAATCATCAATAAAACACCGATTGAATATTGATTTATATCCCGATAAGCATAAGAAATAAAAAATTTAAACTCGAGCTACAACCAACGCAAAAATCCAATTTTACAAAATCCATTTGTGAAAAATTTTCCAGAATTATTTCACTCAGCATAACAAAACCAAGCGAATTGCTCTAAGGGTTCCCAATATTGATCGAACTTTGCTAACTTTGGGTTCCTAATAAATATGATAAAATTGTTTGAAACCACTAGATTTGATCACTCTGGGGCATAAATAAACCAAAATCGGATTAGTGGCCTCTGGTAGGTGGCAATCAAAGTTTAAAATGTCTATTGGGGGAAGAGGCGTTTGATAATTCAGTATTCTTACTGAAAAGCTCAGTGGCGCCCTCTCGCTGCTGAAAGCAGAAGAGGCGTAGTAAGCTTTAGAAGGTTTCAGGCTAAACAAAGCTGGAAATCGTTTCAGGTTGTTTGCATCTTTCGTTTTTCTTACTAGAAAATAAATTTAACAACAGCGTAAAAAGGAAATCAAAGGAAAAAAATTAATAAAAATAGTGCATAATTTAAAAGACACGAAATTTTGACGTGAAAGCTCTAAATATTCTTGCTGAAAAGTTTGGTAGCGCCCTCTCGATAATGAAAGCAGAAACATCGTAGTAAGCTTTAGAATGTTTCAAGATATACAAAGCTGTAAATCCTTCAGGATGTTTGCATTTTTTGTGTTTGTTTCAGAAAAATAAATTTAACAATAGTAAAGTTTAGATTCACGCATATTCATGTGATAATTAAGGTTGAAAAACGACAAAAATAGCTGAAAATTGCTGAAAAGTTTCGTCGTGCTCTCTCGCTACTGAAAGACAGAGCGGCGTAGTGATTTTAAGTCCTGAAAGTGTTGTTCGAGGATTTTAGACTAAACGAAGCCATGGATCGTTTCAGGTTGTTGTGCTTTTTTTGATTTTGTTTCAGAAATATATATATAAATTTAACATCAGCGAAGTTTAGATTCACGCATATTCATGTGAAAATTAAGATTGAAAAACGACAAAAATAGACATATTTAAAAAATATATATTAATAAATTATTGTTATTTATCATTATTATTAATGAATACTCTTGCTGAAAAACTCGGTATCGGCCTCTCGTTGCTGAAAGCAAAAGTGGCGTAGTGAGTTTCAGTCCTGAAAGTGGTATTTGGAAATTTCAGGCTAGACACAGCTGTAGATTGTTTCAGGTTGTACATTTTTGTTTTTGTTTAAGGAAAATAAATTTAACGTTAGTGAAGTTCAAGTTCATGCAAATTCATGTAAAAACTTAGGATGAGGAACGACAAAAATCGTGCATAATTGGAGAAAAAGAAATTTTGACGAGAAAGCTCATTATTTATGAATATCCTTGCTGAAAAGTTTGGTGGCGCCCTCTCGTTGCTGAAAGCTAGAGCGGTGTAGTGAGCTTCAGTTCTGAAAGGCGTTATTCAGACCTGACAGAGCTGTGGATTGTTTCAACTTGTTTTTGTTTATTTTAATTTCAAGAAAATAAATTTAACGGTTGCGAAGTTCAGGTTCATGCATATTTATGTATCAATCAAGGATAGGGAACGACAAAAAAAAGAGAAAAAATATTGACGAAAAAGCTCATTATTATTTTTGCGGATTTCAGGCTAAACACAGATGTAGATTCTTTCAGGTTGCGCATTTTTTTAGCGAAATTCAGGTTCATGCATTCAGCTCATTAATATTAATGAATTGCAGAAAAGTTTGGTGGCGCCCTCTCATTGCTGAAAGCTAGAGCGGCGTAGTGAGCTTCAGTCCTGGAAGTGTTGTTCAGAGGTTTCAGGCTAGACGGAGCTGTGGATTGTTTCAGCTGTACATTTTTTGTTTTTGTTTCAGGAAAATAAATTTAACGGTAGCGAAGTTCAGGTTCATGCATATTCATGTATCAATTAAGGATGGAGAACGACAAAAATAAAGTGCATAATTAGACTGAAAAGAAATTTGACGAGAAAGCTCATTATTATTTATGAATATTCAGTTGTTTTCTCATTAAATTATTTTTCGGCGGTTGAAGTTAATTTTCATAATTTTCGATGAAATTACATGTAAAAACGCGGTTGATTTTCATAATTAGTAAAAAGTTAATGAAGGAGAGGTCCTTGAAATAATTCTGATTGTTTCGCGGAGAGATGCTCTCCAAGTTTGGAGTGGAGGTAAGTTAACGCGGCCACAAGAAACCGATTCCCCATTCCGAGCCGTTAGATAGATAACAAGAATGTTAATTAATTTAAAAGTTTAAAGTTGTTTAAACTTTTCCTGATGAAACTTTCATTTAATAAAAAAACCATTAAACGTGGCACAATATTCAATTTGCGGCTTCGATTAAGAAACGATCGGGAAAGTAGCTCCCCCATGTTTGCACAACGATGGAAATTATTTCGTGTTCTTAATGCTAGGGCAAGTTTCCGGGATTCCTCGTCGCTGATTTCGCACTAATGTATGCGCCAACAGACCCAATGTGTTTATTTAAAGATTTAAATATATAAAGTATGTGTAATTCGATGAAAACCGCAAACAGACATTTGGGAAAAGCGTCACGAACTCGAATCCGATAACAAATAAAATATAGTTGGGACGTGGCGACCTCTACCATAACTCATACATATACACGACTACGTGCGAAATATGGATGCTTAAGACCATTCCAAATTGCCTATTCTGATTTTTACACCCCCTCCGCACTACTACACATCCATCATCGCGAGGGAATAGCAAAAACCTGAAAAATACTGAAAAAACACTTGCGCGCATATCGCTGAGATTTTATATAAAAACAAATGTCGTGCATAAAGTCCCGTGCTAATAATTAATGCCTTGTTTTGAGCTGATTGACAGTTAGGCATTTTGTCATTATCGCAAACACCTGAAAAATACTGAAAAAACAGTTGCGTGGATGTCGCTGGGGATTTTATCTAAAAACAAATGTCGTACATAAAGTCTCGTGTTAATTA